GGCCATACGTGCTTGGCAAACTTAGGGGGCGAGTCGGTCAGGAGGCAAGTCGGTCAGGGGGCGAGTCGGTAAGGGGGCGAGTTGGCTAGGGGGCAAGTTGGTAAGGGGCGAGTCGGCTAGGAGGCGAGTCGGTCGGGGGGCGAGTTGGTAAGGGGCGAGTCGGCCAGGGGGCGAGTTGACCTACAATCTTTCTGATGGCTATTAAGTCACTGTAGGCAAGAATTACTGGCATCCATATATGGAACTCTTCCTGGCTTGGGATTGTTACGCCCCAACTATAGCATCTGTCCCAACTATAGCCGGGACAGTCCTGCGGCAGCTGGGCTGCCCCAACTATTGTTGACAAATATCTATAGAAATTTTGTCAACCTTGTCCAAGTTTATGCATCTAACTTACATTTGACACAATTCATCTAAAATATGGCACTTCATCTATGACATGACACTGTGGTGTAAACAATATGACTTTGGCACATGCTGGACACATGTACACTGGACATGTGTGCTACAGTTGGGCCAGTCGACACCGTACCCATATCTCCATCATGTCCCTCTGAGTTTGGTTTTAAATAAAAGACACAAGCAAACAATGCCTCTCCCAAGAAAAAATCGAACAAAAAATAATGTTAAACTGACAAGTCATGCAAGTGGACCATATAATATGGACTGCTGACTGAAAATAAGTTCCAGCGACAAATTGTGAATTTTGCCGACATACAGTCATAGTCCGACTCATACATTACTTTTGGTTCACAATGTTCATGGTTGAATATCCCCCGACTTGAAGTTCTGCATCGAGGCACGCAAATTAATGTCGGAAATGCACGTACTACCATAAAATCGTCATGATCGTATTATCATTGGCAACTGTTTACCAAGTGGCTGGTCGGCGGTGCGAACTTTTTCCCATTCTTCTTGCCTTTGTCTTCGCTTGTCTTCAAGTTCTGTCTCAGAGACAAATGACCTGAAAGAGACTCCTTCACCAGCCATGCTGGTGACGTGAAATAAATTTGTTTCTGAAAAACAAAAAACAGAGAAACCCGAAACCGTGTACGGCCGGTCGACGACGCGTCGTACGGTACGTGCACGCGTCAAAATCTTGAGGGCGCTATTACAAAAACATTCCCCGTATTTTAATCACCAGTTCTTATTTCTCGCGTACGTGCTAGGTACCCACCACTGTGCTGCTGCATGCATTGTAAGGGATGAAACTGTATCAAATGCTGAACAGCACCATCCCAGAGCTGCCACCAGAACGTCAGTGCACGTCTCACTCCAGAACAGTACTCTTGAGAGAAAAACTACAAAAATGTGCAGTACATGTACTATGTCAGTTATTATTAGGGTAGAGTACTTGTATTCATTATTCTATTCTAGCACTAATACGTCAATTCTCTTTGTAGATTCAGTCACTGGTAATGAGGCTGAAGGTATTTATTTGTGGAGTTTGGGGGTTTAGATGAAGCCACACCAATGTATTCAGAGCTGACAGGCTTTTCATTTTTTTCTTCTTATGATATAAACCCTTTTTTGTTTATAAACATTGCCTACTGCTTTGATACGGACAACCAAAGCTTGTAGAAAGTTCACTAGTGGCAGCAGCTTTTGTCTCATTGTATACTTGAGGAAGCTATTGTCATTGAATAATTTTTAATTTGTATCTCCAAAGTGTTAAATAGCTGAATGAGTTTCTTGAACACTTTGTAAATTTTTCTGTTGTTTTTGTATCAATGGGGTCATACTTTGCCAGCTGCTGCCAGGCAAAAACTATGACTGTAACAAAGTTTGGCTGGCCAGTTTTGGAGACAGAGCTTTTTTCCAGCATTGCATCTCGCTTATGGAACTCGCTCGCTGATCATTTGAGACAAGAACATGACATCAAACATTTTCAGCAGCATCTCAAAACATTCTTTTTCTCATTAGCTTTTTCATTGTGAGCACCAAATTGAGTTTTCCTTTTCCACCTTAGACCGGTGCCTTCAAATAATTTACAGATTAAGTGCGCCTTATAAGTGCTTTATTAATATTATTGTTAGTATTATTCTTATTAACGAAAATGGGTCACTTGGGAGACATTCCCATAGGAACGTGCACAAAATTTTTCAACCTTTTTTTATCTCAGTCTCGGTGAATTTCATTCACTGTTTTAAGACCTTAAGCTCAACACAGATTCCATCTTCTTCAGCAGAAACATCAAGCTGTTGAATATGTAGTGAACTTCAGAGAATTTGGATCAGGCTCTAACAGCGAATGTCTAAATCTTATTCTGAAGCTTGAGATTAAGATGGTGGTTAGGGGAGTTTGTTCATTGCTGTGTAAATCGTTTTTCCTCTCGTGAGACAGGAGCCAGTGAGACAGACTGATTCCTACTTCCTCCCTTGTAGTCTAGATGTCAACAGGAGGGGTGGGAACCACTCTGTGGGTGGGGACTCTTACCTCACTGGTTCCCCTCACCACTGTCAATTATCAACACTCCAGAATTACAGTGTACCAGAGAAGTACCCTACACAACGAGTAACATTTCATATTTCTTACCAAGGAGATACTTGTGAACAGAGCAACTTACATTTAGATTCCACCAGACAAATCCACGGGTTGAATCAAAGCAGCAACTTAGAAATTTAGGACGCACTTTTGATCCTATTTTCAGGAAATTTATTACAGTAATAAGACCGAATCAAAAAGCCTGTCCAAATTAACATTTTTTAATTTTCTCCTTCACTGACTGCACAAAAACATGGACAACAGAAATAACAGCAAAACCCAATTTAAAATCTTGGAGGTTTCTGACAAACTTGTGATAAACAGGGTGACAGGCCACATAATGACTTGCGAAAACAATCTACATGTATTTGAGAAGAGATACATGTTACTGTGGTTCAACAGGCACATGCTGATGGGGTCACACGATGTTTACATGTGCCTTCCTCTGGGACCCAGAGGGGACAATGGAATGGACGGCTCTATTGAAAAGGATACGTACATGTATAAACAAATCATGACCTCATCAGTAGGTAGGCCTATTGTGACCATACATTTTACAGCTTATATGCAACAGCACAATTTCTGATCAATGTGAGGTAACACAAAAACAAAACAGCTTAGTTCAATAGGCTACTGCAATGTTGCTTTCAAAGATGTCTCAGCTGGTCATGCACTGAAGTTGAATCTCTTTTTCGCTCCATAATAGTTAATGGTAATTCTTGCCGTAGTTAAGTGTGGAAATGTTTACTCTTGCCAAACCAAAGCTGCTTCCTGAGTGTAAGGATAGTGCAGTTGTTCGCATTGTTTGTAGCCATGTTGTTCACTTTTCTACCTTTGCTTCATGATGCAAGTATCGCTGGAAGTTTGTAAGCCGTAGGGCAATTTCTGCTATTTCACAGCTAGTTTCTTCATTTTTTCTTCTTTTTTTTCATCAAACTGAAATGTACTTGCCGAAAAGCTGCTGGAACATGTATGCTAACAAAACTTGTTGCCTTTTAAAAAAATAGCACTTCCATCGACGACTGACTGTGTCCTTAAATGTACTTCTGTGAGGTCCAGACACTTTGTAAGGCATTTGTTAACTGCACATTTACTGTGCAACTGATTTGATTATAAAAAAAATTTGGTTAACTGTTCTCTTCATTTCAGACTGGGTCAGAATAACTTGATCACCCCGTGAGTGGGAAACTAAACATTGACAATAGGGCAATGCATGAACTTAACATTAGAAGAGTTCATGAATGAGATCCAGTCAGGGTAGTTGAGGCTTTTGAAACCCAAAACTAAAATGTTATCTTTGTGAAATAAAATGTCATTTCGGCGGTGTTTATCCAATGATTGGGAATCTACTTCTATCGGTTAATTGATATTTTGAAAGAGCACACAGTACTAACAGTATTTACAGAGAAAACAGGGCATAAAATACAGCTGAATCTTACCATTAGTTAAACCTGTATATTACCAAAGAAAAAGAATGTTACTTGTGATATTTTTTAAATTGAACAAAGTAGTTAAATTATAATAAAGCTTCGTAAAATATACAAGTCTTTCATCTTAAATACAAACTTTTTTATCTTCTGAAATGTAATTTACATGTTGGTTTTGGAATAACCATTCTATTAATTTTTATTATGATACAATAAAGCGATACAAAGTTTGACTTGCAGATTGTTTCTATTTGTAGCCTTAATGATCTATCAAAATCAAAATGCAGATTACAAATAATGTGAAATCCCCCCTTCCCAGTTTTGTGTACATTCAGTTGAGAATAGGTCATACATACCAGCCATACGGTGGATGAGTCCTTTTCCAAGTCCCAAGCACACCACACTGAACCATAGGAATTACATCTAAATACCAAATCTGGATTGATTGCATGAGTAGGCCATTGGCAACTTTGGATGCATGGTTTGCGCGAAAGTCCCAATGCCCACTGGTTTACAAATGCTTGGGCATTTTCGACATGTTTATTCCCAATCACAATCTTAAACCAGTCAACTCTCTTTACAAGAAGGTTGATGGGACCAGCCACTTTACTCTGTTATAGATACTGTTTCAGTGCATGTTTCTAAATGGCCCCCTTCAATGGTGTCGAGTCTTGGGCAGAGCAACTAACACAGCACAGTGGCTTCATACAATAGTTACCGCAGTGCTGTCTACCATTGGTGGGGGCCACAGTGATTGCAAATAGCCAGGGATAGTATTACCATGGTCACCTGATTCATCTATGGCCAGAACCTTGTTCTAAAATGACTGTAAAACCAAAGAAAAAAGAACTTAAAAGATTGGGGACCTGCTCTTTATAACAGCGTCTTGTCATACCAGTGCTCTTATGTCAAGTGTCCTCGGACCATGGTGTCACGTTTATCACAAGCAGCACCAACAGCACATTTATACTTCAGGATGCATTTAGTAGTCGGGGCCCAGATGAGGAATAAAGGAAATTATGCATGGGTTTATGGAGAACAAGAACCGATGTAAAGAAACTGGTTTACATGTGCTATCCCCCCCCCAACGCTGTGCGTGCACCTTAAATCAGGAACCTACAGTCCCCGCACACTCTACTGTCAATGCCACAGACAAAAAAAAAACCATGCCTTAGGGCTAGGGGTGTACATCAGAATGAAGAACCCAACCCTTATTAATGTCAGGTACCGGGGATGAGACTAGGTGACTCAAACTATACATATTACCAAATAACTCAGACAATGAAAAGGGAAAGAAAAAAAAACAGTTTCTTGGGGAAAATTTTCAAACAAAAACCAGGCTTCGTGGAACGCTAAAAAACCAGATTTTTGCATTTTGAGTCCAAAGGTAGTTGACTGAAGCTTTGGGGACGGAAAGATATGACGACTGGAATTTTTTTCTTTGACTTTTTAGGTCGACTTCTGTTACGGGAAACTGGCTATATCCCTTTTTTAACTTCAATTGGGCATCCGGTTTTGTTCTTTGTGATTCAGGCCAACTGTCGCTTTCCCTTCACCCTTAATCACACAGGCACACCTTGGTGCCAAGTAACTATTGCACACTGCGGTGATGAAAAGGGGCATCTCTGACAAAAGCATTCCTGCACTTTTCCCCTTTTATGACACAAAGTTTTCCTCCTGTTTTCAAAATGCCACACAAAGTAGATCTTAATCACTACCTGAAATATGAATATTGGAACCAAGACATTGATCGACCTTTGAGTTGAAACTTGTCAGCTGAACTGGCCTACTGGACACCATGCAGAGAAACTTGGGGAAACCTATCACCCGGTTTACAATCTTGAACTGAGTGTAGCACAATGTGAGATATGGTTGTCTGTGCGGGTAACTGTGGATATAACGCTCTGTGGCCCACTCGCAGTAGCCAGCGGAGGCCGCACTGCGTGTGGGATCTGGTGCGCCTGACTTCATTTTCAACAGAATGTACACAACCTTTCATCAACCCCATGACTATAGGGCATGTGAGTGGCCCAGCATGGTAGACATGGAGCTCAAGTTGTTCTCCAAGGATAGTAAACTAGATTTACATGCTGCTGGGCAATATGTGGGAAATAAAGTTGTAAATTTCAACTATGACACTGTCATCACTTATCCAGACCCCAATCCTCAATGGAATAGTCACCCTCCTGCTTAAGCTCCGTAGTTTCGGATAAATGAGAGAGCATGTTTTGGAGAGAGTGTCTGCATGTGCAGTTTACAGTAGGAATAATGAACATCAATATCAACATTACAAACTTTTTTACAACAAACTAAACCAGATTTTGCTGAACTCTGAGTAGAATATTTCTAGATTATAGTTGGTTTCACTGAAACTACAATTCCCAGTTATTCTATAAGGCACTCTACTCCTGCTGTTATGATGCACGAAAGGGGGAATAAATGGTTACTTCCTGAATTATTCAACACAAGAAAATTGCCTTTGTCTCATTCAGAACTTGAATACAGAAAAAAAATAGATTGTTTTTTAACTTGATGCATACGTTCCTTAATTAGGACAAAAATCCAAATATACACAACTTCCGCTACACATCCTTCTGGACACTCAATATTCTTTTCAAATTGGTTTGAGGATTTCCCTTCTTTGCTTAGTAGGTGATTACAGAAGACAGTTCTGGGTTTCACCAGTCTAAAGGCAACTTATAATCCTACAGTGTTAAACAGTAACCACTTTCTATAGAGCTGTAATGTAAGATTTTTTTGTTGATGGATTCTGTTGGGAGTGGAGATGGATTCTGATGGATTTGGCTAATGGATTCTGATGGATATTTGTCAGTGGATTCTAACAGATTAGCTACAGAATTTTGATGGATTTTGACCAAGGATATTCTGATGGATCTGGCGATGGATTCTGCTGGATTTTAGCTGATGGATTAGCTCTGTTGGATTTAACAGCTTCCAACTTCAGCTGTTAGATTCTGTTTAGCTAAGCGGGACCGTCCGAAGAAAACCTGGAGAGGGTTAAGCTGTGAGGTATACAAATAAAGCCTAAGCTCTAAATTGCGCCCCAGCCATGATGTAGAAAGACCTCTATTTGCTCTGTGCAGGAGTATGACATGGCATGTTTTCATCATGGAAACAAATGTCTCCTTGGATGGAAAACACCAAGTGCATGGACAGGTTTATGCGAGTTCGGCACAAGAGGCACTGACCAAGTCTGACAAATGTCTGTTAATGGGTCTTCAGGTGCGTGCCAGGTTAAAATTTTTCCCACCAACTTGTCTCTACTTCACTGGTGAAGGGGTGCTTCAAGTTAGAATGGATACAGTCTAATTGCAACCTATACAGTTGGGGGCTATGCTTGTTTTGGGAAGTTAATGGGATGGAACTCATTGATTTCATGTGGGGGCACTTCAAGAGCAAAAGTCAAACTTTGGTCGATTACCAAAAAGAAAAACTCCTTTTCTTTTCTCCTGCACAGAAATTTTAAGCTTAGAAAATATTCCATCGAATGCCACAGAACTGAGACGACACAAGCTAGTTACACAGTCACTTGGGAGAGAGAAACTGCGACCCATCAGCAAGGATGATGGTCAACTTGTTGACGCTTTGTCACGACTGGAGCTCACCGTCTTGGAGGAAGGCACGGACACTGATCGATCCCCGACAAAGGTGACACTGCTCCAGCTGAATTGCACATTCCATACACACACCGCTGGGAAGGGAAGGAAAGGGAGGGCAAAATTAAGAGGCTGTATTATGTCAATTGATGCCTGACCACTTGTGGATGGTATCATTTTCAGTCGAAAAATCTGGACATTTTTTATTAAAGAGACCTGATACCTCCGTCACTTTTCACAAATAAGTAGAAAAGCATGATATGCTACATTGAAAGGGCAATTTGTACAAGATTTCTTACTGTAACCTCAACTCTAACACTCTCAGGCTTTGACATGGAAAAATATTTGCTACAACCCAGACAACGTACTGCGACCAAACATGCAGTCACCTCAAAAATGAATGGAAAATGTGACAATTTAACCCATCAAACATCGTGGCAAGGGCACGCTGCCACAGGGTGTTAACAGTTTCAACATACTCTCTGTGAAACATCAACAGAACTTATAGCCGTTTTAAAACATCCTCGAGTGTGAACCAGCTCAATCGGCGTACTTCCAGAGTCACTCAACTTTTGAAATGCAGAAGAATTTGATTTGGGAAGTTATCATTCTCACCTGTGATTACATGGCTTCAGGATGACGTTGGCTTCTCGGTCAAAGCAGAGATTACAGGCGTTTTCACTGACACTCATATGCCGTAGTAAAGCCATCTTCTTGTGTCTACAGAGAGAACAATCAACAATGAGGACATATCAGAACAATGCACTAGTTTTTGTGAAGACAAATACCAGATTTTTAGGCCTTGAAACACAAACTGCTGAGGTCGATTTTAATTACAAACTAATAAAAGTTTTAAACATAATAGCCTGAAAGTGATTTCTAAAAAATTGAAATGTATCAGTTTATTGCTTCCTCTTTGAGTGTCATGCAAAAAGTCCCCATTATCAATAATTACATTATTTGCTCTTTCAATAGTGTGGCTGCTGGGGCTTACTTGGGAAGGATGACCTTGTCGTCTGGGGCTAAGGTTGCGTATTCATTGAACGTTTTGAACGGCACTTGGGGCGGGTAAAAGAAGGCCTTCATCCCAAAGTTGAACTCGCACTGCTGGAATGACATGAAGCTCGCAGCGGCAAAAAACCCAGATCTGCAGACAAGAACAGATTATTAGGAAGAGTAGGCCTGAGCAAAAAACTGCAGGTGGCGGTCTGAGTGGTCTGAGTGCCTCACCGAGTCTTACAATTTATTTGCAGCTGAATGAGCACAAAATGAAGCATCATTACATGAGGGAAATGAACTCGGTTGCAGACATGCAGTGCTGCTTCACTACTTTAAAGACTGTATCAATAAGATACTGCATTTTCATCACAGTGAGCACAGTTCCATTAGTAATCAAATTTCTATGAAATTTCTTTCACACTTTCTTTATTCACAAAATTTTGCCCACACAGTTTTTTAGATTAATAACGGCAAATGCAGAGCACTTTTATGGCACTATTCATACCCTAGACACCGTTTACCTTTGGAAATCAACCCAGGCATGCAACTAAAGCAGAGCACAGCCTTAAAGAAGAAAAAAGGGAGTTAGACTTGCCGCCAGTCCCTTTATTACAGTCACGACTGGGAAAGCAACGGGAATGCCGTGTTGGAGATACGACACCTGTGGAAAACACTTACTGGGCTGACGTAAAGACGTCCCTTTCTGGAGGTAAGAAGTTTCCATTCAGTGAGATCAACATCTCCTGACGCTCCAAGTCTAATAAGAATCCAACAATGTCCCCTAAACAAAATGCCAGACCAAATGTAACAAATTCAATCATAAATTGAATGGATACAGAACTGATTCATGAACTAGCAACCACTATCAAACTGGTACAAAGACTATTTAATCATGACACATTAGGCAGTGTTGTTACGTCAAGGAGGATCTGTAGCACTGACCTGCTTTCCACATGGGATGTCGATGGGGTCTACTCTTGGCCTTGTACCACAGCAGCTGTCGGCATCCGTCGTAGGAGAAAGAGAACTCGTCGTCCCCGATACCGTACCCTTCCTGGACAATTTCAGAAGAGACACCCACAAAAACTAAACACTGATTCATTTCTGCTGCTAATCGAGCACTGAAACAGGGTAAGTACGACAACAATTTGTGACCCACTCTGTGAAAATGAGTGGTGAGGCCGTTTTATTTAAACTTTGTGTCAGTTTGTTTTAGAAAGAGCAAGCTTAACTCCTTGTCACTCATTTTGGCATCCTAATGGAAGATGGACGTAATGTGGGTGATAAAGAGCATGGTTCCAATTGATGCACACTGGGAAACGTTCTTTGGAAGGCCTGTTATACCACCCTGATGTAAACAAATTTCCAGCACAAATCACAGATCGCGGCACTTCCTGTCACATCAGATTTGAACCGCCTCGCCAATCTGGGCAGACTCTGAGGTCAAGTGTAAAACATCAGCACTGGCTGATCAGTGGGCTCAAGTCACATAAAATCTTTGGCCGCTTTCCCTTCCACCTCTCCAAAAGCACAGAACTTACACGGCTAATGAAAAAATACCTCACCAATGGGCAACACCCAATGCTAAAAACTTCCAAAATTCTTGTCATGTTGGGAGCTTTCCTCAATTTTTGCAATCTAACAGCGGAGGTTGTCACCTGATTCAGGAATTTGCTGTTCTTGGTAGCCCAGCCAATCTGCATCACACCGTCGGTAATGATCCGGACCTCGTAGTACCAGACCCCGGCATCCACGCAGAACGTACAACGCACGCTCTCAAAGGACGAAGCGTCGCTCCGCGCCTGAGGGGCAGAGTTCCGTGAAAACAAGTGAGTTTGACACAAAGCACCCCCTTTTATGACGCAGAGCCTGTTTATCAAGTTTTGCTACATCACACTAGATAACTTTACAGCATAGCAACATGCCTCTCTGCACTCAACACCTAGGGAGGCAAGAGCCATATATATTTACACAGTAGTTGCGAAATCTACAGTTTTGGAGCCATATTGGTTCCAAACTTTGCCATGAAAGCACACCCTATGGCATATTGGTTGCCTATTTGCACAGCAAACAAATCAGTTGTCCAACTTGGATCGGCCTTTTCCCATCTGTAATCCCATTTCAAAAGAGCCATTTATTTTGGAAACAACCCTGGCATCTTACACGACCTCATGTCGCAACTCTCTATATTGTGCCCAGACAAGAAGATGCCATGGTATTGTTCACATTCAGATGAAAAAAACCTCTGGAAAATATACATACATACCACTGTAAGCATACAGAACTCTACACCACACCGTTTGCTACACAAATGAGGCTCTTCTCTAATTCACAAAAGGAGACCACTGAAGCATGGGCCCTTGGGAATTCTTACCTCAAGCCCGGTGGGTGTTATCTTGAGATATTCACTGACATCCCTGTCATTCAGCATGGCGTGGCAATCCTTGAGGGACACTAACTCGTGAGTGTATGGTCTGCCTTCCACCAGGACTGTCAAACAGAAGTCACAATTTGCAAGAATCGGCATTACAAGTTAAAACTGAGTTTGTTTCATTAATGGTTCCTATTTTCTCTCCTGAAAGTTTAGATAACGTTAGGCAATACCAAAGGAGGTAATATCATCATTCTTACAAAAGAGCTGTCAGAAGATGACAATGTGATTGATACTTACACAGGTTGTCCAGACACCACTGGGCACAGAAGCCCACCTGTCTGAGCATCAGGTCCTCACTGTTGGCGTACTTCTCCAATGGAAGCAAGTGCTCCCGAATCCCACTGTTAGAAATCGTTATCTTGTTTTCAGCTGCAGGGAAAAAAATTACAAAATGAATAACTAACCTTGGGTTCTGGGCATTGAGCAACTACCATAGACGATACTAAGACCAACCAGAAATACTTCTTGAAAAGAGTTTTTAAACGGCTTTAGTTTGTTGCACAGTGAGTTGTCTCTTAATATTCCACTGTATAATTTGGATAAAAACTGTAATTCCAACAAAGGAGAAAGACTGTCATATTTTAAACGGGAGTGCTGGGTTTTACAGGACACTTTTCTGCAGTTTCTGTGAGAAAGTTACCGTGTTGAAAATGGCCATTTGCTGGTATGCAAGTTCGCAAAGTTTCCAAAAAGGTGAAACCTAGTGTTCCAATGTTTTCTCATGATGTATGATGTATTTGCAATGACAAACCACATTCTCTCCGATGGAACATTCAAAGCAGCCCGGTACATTGAGCTAATAACAGCACTTTGCCATCACCATGAGCATTGACATGGTTTGCGTAAGCGCCTCAGGAAAGTTTGATAGGTCGATGACCTGATGATCTGGGAACAGCGTGGAAACACATGTGGCATTAGTTGATCCTCTTACCCGCTAACCAAAAAAAACGTGACCGGGAAAGGGCTTGATTCAAATACGACTGCTCTGATTTTCATCCACTGAACAAAAATTCAGGCATGGACTCATTCTGTATTACTTTGCACAGTGACTTTGTGAAGTTTGCATCTTGAGTCTTATGTGCTTTTTCATAAACTACCCCATTACAATGTACTCACATGTTTGTGAAAATTTCTCCAAGGCTATGAGGGAAAAAAGAACCACCTGGGGGCTGAACTTCAAGTTCTGCAAGAGCGACAACAGATTACCGTGTAAGTCTTTGCCCTACGTGCTGACCAGTGTTGTAGTCGAGTCCATCACAAGTCCCTGCAAGGCCATCGCGAGTCATCCACTCAGAAGTCTAGTCACAAGTAATCCAAATAAACTGCAACAGAAGCGATCCCTGGTCATTGCTCACCCTCGTGCTTGCGACTGGACTAGTCAAAGGACTTGTGATGGCCTGACTACAATAATGCACACAAACACATACACGATAAGCATGGATGCATTAGACCCCACCCCTTCGAGGTCTTTCAAAATGAACCAGGACGTTTTGCTGGATTGAGGAATGTAGAATGTAGGCCCCCCGCCTCCTTACACGGTGCATACTGCCAAACATACAATATAATTATAAGCCATTGCATAATAGTGCATCTCTAAGGGATTCAGGAAAGCAAAACATTGAATAATAGGTAACTGAATCCTTAACAGAAAGAAGGGCCCAACTCCGACAAAACCTTTTTGAGTTTAAAAAAATAACTGAATGTTGATTGAAGGAACTGCAAAGGATATCAATTAGCTCTCCTAGGCCAAAATGGTGAAGTTGGGCCTTTCTTTTTATGATGTATTCAATTATAAAGCACACATGACCACTATTTCTGGTAAACAAGGTACTCCATCATCATTCCTGAAAATCATATCAGCCCCCCCCCGGGAAACATACAGCTTGATTCTCCCATTTCAGACACAAGCAGCTAATCAAACACATCAACCATATCTGCTCTCGTAGGTAACAATTTACACCCCTGAGTGGAGAGCGATTAGTAACAATAACATGACTTGCCCAAGGTCACAACACAAAACCAGTTTCTGGATGCAAACCTCTAACCCTATGTGCAAGAGTTACAAACTCTGTCCAAATAGTCACAGGCCAACCAAAAATGCATTAAGCTCTTGCTGCCAGGGAACCCCATTTTGAGCACCATGGGTTCATACGCAGAGCCGGGGTGCCCAAATGGGACAAAAGAGCTGGTCCATGTAATAACAGACCCTAAGGAACAAAAGACCCGCTGCAGGGAATTGCCATCATTTTTCGGCTTGCATTTTTCAAAGGTAATCCGTCACTGTTTTCAAACAGTATACCACTGTTTTGGGCATAGAACGTCCATGGATTAGCACCGCAGACAAAAGTGCTCCAGGGCCCCATTGATGAGCAACACAGCACCACTGTATATGCTAATCCAGCCGCATTTGAAAAGATGACACTCGCATTCACTGGGGACAAAGGAAATAACGCAACACCTCACAATGCTGGGCTCTCTTTACAGGGCGGCAGGCCTGGCTGAAATACTCAGGAGTCACTGAAGGTTACCTGTCAGCTTAGAGTAGCCACTAGCAGTCATTTGTGTGGGTGTAAACTTCCATTAAGTGAAATGATGAATTTTTGAAGAATTTTGAAAACTGAAAATCTTGACAATCCCCCGTATGTGAACACTGCATTTTTAAAAGCACCTGGAAGCATGTGGTTAACAAAAGGAGTTACTGTAGCGTACTGTAGGTTTAAGTTCTGATCACAAATTTAACCAGCTACAAGTAGGAAAGGGCCTACATGAAGAAACACCAATTTCTCTGACCAAGCTTGACAGGAGATACTGCAGCACGTCGCCAGTGAGCATGGTGATACTTTTGGGCCCGGCCAACTTCTCGGCTAGACATCCCAGGACTGTAGCAATGTTCCGATGCTTGGCTGCACAGGCAAGAGCCTCCTGTGGAAGACCTTTGGGGATTCCTAGAGCTCCATACAGCCTGTGTATTGTTTCCTGCGCAAGAAAATACATAAAAAATGGAAACGCTGGACTCTCAATCAATACCCTACACCAAAGAGGTCAAGATCCTAAACATACCAGGAAAACAACCTTCCATTCAAGCTCAGAAGTTTATTTGAAGAAAAACTGCACAGCCTCTCTCCATGACATTTGTAAGGAAAGTTTTGTGCAGGATCAAGCAACATACAGAATGTCTGATGACACCTATGGTTTAGGTTAACCTTGACAATTTCTCTGATATACAAGCAATGCATTCTGTTTTGCGCAGAGCTTTCGGGAGTTTTGCTTGTAATGTCTTATGATTATTTTGTCACCAATTTTCTGAAAATCCGGCACATCATTCCTGCTTTAATTAAAAAAACAATCTTAAATATGTAAAACTTTTCTCATTGATGTTTTGTTTTCAGTGCACACTGGCCCCCATGCACGAGGCAGAGAAACGTACCACAAATTGAAACCTCACTCATAAAGCCTTTGCATGTACTTTATACCAAATTTCAAGCAAGATCAGTAATGAGACAGCTAATAATTTATGAGCAGGAGGGCAGAGTCCACCAATTACAATAAAGTAATTCAGTGCCCCTGAAGAACATGATTCATCAGTCACAAACTCTGTCACTTTCACCGGGTCAAGTGCCTTGTAGGAAGACCTCTGCCTTGCAGGATATATCAACGAGACCCTGCCGCAAATAAGGGTTGTCTGCCATTGGCCGACTGCCAGGCAAATGATTCCTGTATGACACGGTCTGCCACATGCCGATTTTCACTTCCTCTAAACAGCAGGAAATAAGGGCTTTGGTGGGTTTGGATTTTTTTTTCAGAATTTTGAGAATTCAGGTTTTCTGCTGTATTTTCAGCAGAATCATCAGGACGGTTGGAATGCAACACATGAAACTTGGTACACATGTGCCTTTTTTTACTGCACTCTGTCAACTTTAACCCTAACCCTCCTCCATCCTACAAAATCCTTTGGGCGGTTTTTGGAGGGTTTTGTAGGATTGAGGGTGAATGGCAAAAACGCGTGGTTGATTGCAAAGGACGCAATGACTGAAGGTCGTTGTTAGACCTTGTGTTATTCTTGCCCAGTCATGCATAAATTCAACCCGATATTTCTTTTGAATCAAACGCACTACTCAAGAATGCCATTCACACTGCCTCAACATGATGACAGGAATTGTCAGAGGATTTTGAAAGATTGAGGCAGTGGGCACACCTCCAAGTAACATTTTCAAGAAATTTTGGAGGATTCTGGAGGATTGAGGAAGGTCCCTAGCAAAAAGGGCCTGGGGGGGTTAGGGTTAAACACGTTGACATGCAATATCAATGCCTGTCATGATAACAGTCAAAGTCAGGTTGGCAAAGTGGTTCATTCCTTGCCTTCCCACCTCTCCAAGTTCAATGCAGGGGTTAGAATTCCACCCAGGCTGACATGTTGATTGAGCTTTCAGTCCCAACCCGACAACCAGGGTTTCCCCTGAAACATTTGTCCGAGGCTTTCCTCCCACCTCTAAAACTGAACATTTCTTCACTGTCTATTTTCCCCCAGGGCCCCTTGGGAGAACAGTTGATAACTGACAGGGCTTTACCTCGGTTCCATAGAGAAAAAAAAATACAGCAAACCTTACCACAGTTGGTAGAGGGCACTCATCTATAAGTAACGTTATGACAGCTGGTCCCAAGCCATCTTCCATTGGGATAACACGAATCATGGACAGGACCACCCTCAGCCAGCCACTTTCTACAGTTGCCAACGGAAGAAAAACTGGACGTCAGTTTTATCATATTTCACAGAGAGTGAAATAGGGCACCAACTGATGCTTAGGTATCATTAGCTTTTACTAGAATCAAAAGAACCGTCGTGTGTAAAGAGTCATCAGATAAAAGGGTCACGACCGAGGTGAGTGATTGGAAAAAAATGTCCGATGTCCGAATGTAAGCTCATCCTTTGGCTTAGACTACCTACTCAACAAATTTGAAAATATCTTCAATCGAATGTCACTTGGAAAAGATTCACCTTGTAATCTGGTAACTTTGTCCAACTGAGGAAAAAAAAGCACAACAGTCATTGTGCAGAATATATAAAAATCTGCAACGTGACTTACCACTCTCGGCAATATCATGAAGCCTAAGCATTGAAGAAGGTGGCTCAGGGTCACTGAAACAAGAAAGTTAGATTTTCATATTAAGTTAGTTTCTAATTTGTCAAACCTTGTCAAAGGAAAAACTTTCAGTAAAATTTCTTAATTAGATATCAACCCCCACTGGCCTCAATCACACTGGTTTCAATGTGCAATTAGTTTTTCAAACACTTAGGACGGCAAGGGTTGATTTAAAATTAAGCAATTATTCAAGCTCCCTGACCCAATGCATCCAGATTCTGTGTGATTTACTCCACACCTGGAGGGTTGTGGTTTTACTTTCTGGGCCTCAGGCAAGTGGATGCGAAGTCTGTCCCCATCAGATTCTCCCTTGGCACCCTTCTCAAATGCAACAAAATCCAACAACACCTATGGTTGCTGAATGCAACCAAACACAACACAACACAACCGTAGTCAGTGGATTACACAGAGTAACCTGTCACTTGTACTGGCAGAGAAATCCGACAACTTTCAACCACTGTTGCATGTTGTTGCAATGAATAGGGTTGGGGCTAGTCTGAAAATTTAGAACTCTCAGTACTGCGTTTGAGACTGTAGTGCATGAAACAGTGAAAACATGCAACAAAAGAAAACTGACCTATACACCATCTCCTTGATACTACATACATGTACCTGCATTGCAACTAATCAACAGGACAGGTTCTACAAGTAGTTTATATTACTACACATTCTTTTTAGAGTCATCCTTAAGAGGCTGCTTGGTCAGTTGTTCTGAGCAATTGTAAAGCCGTTAAAGTGGGTAACCTAAGGCTTCAAAGTGAAATCACTTGGCTTCAACCTAAGGTGTACAATGTTGAAGTGAATGTGAAATTTTGACTTTTTGGACTTCATGTTTGATTTGAGACTTCCAATTTGTTCTTGAAATACTGACAGCCTGTTTTGCTATATAAAAACTTTGGGTAATTCAGGGCTCACATTTTGACTTTTTGGGGGCACTGCCATTTTTGCCCCAAGAAATGCGACAATTTAAGGGGCAATAAGGCCTAAATTTCTACAGAGCAAAGGCACTGAGGCCAACGTGTAAAACATTGTGCAAACGAGTTTAAAAACAAAACAAAAAATGGTGTTTCATGTGCCTGAGCTATCATGTTTAAATATATTTTATAACCAAGATATCACTCCCAAAAATTCTTATGACAAAACATCCTTTTACAGAATGGAACTGCCAGAATTTCTGACAAAGCATTTCTTAATTTGGAGAAAATTAATTCTTACAAAAGAATTCCAGTGAATGAAGCAAAAGAAAACTCGTTATTTTGACACATCTTTTTCGACTGCATAGTGCAAGCTCACCAACCATATCCCCTCGCACTGTAAAGTTGACCAGCCCATTACATGTACGTCACATAAAAAACAATAACGCACATGTAGTTGAGTCTACTGCATCCGTGCACATGCGATACAAAACTAAGGCAAAATATAGACAAAACGGAACTAGCCGTAGCTTTAGAGGTCCGTTTCAGACACGGCCTAAGCGCATTTACGCATGTGCTGGCCAGCTTGCTGTACATAATGCCTGGCTAGACTGATTAGCCGCCATGCACCCGGGCAGGCCGCCGCACGTGCCAGCAGTGTTAAAAACGTTGGGATGCAGAACAAAATACATGTACATTTATGGATTATAAATCGAAGCCAACTGCATGCAAGCCTCACACCCTATGGCGTGCTTGGTCTGGCAGCTTGGAGCTAGCCTGGCCATGCACATAATGTGGTGTGAAGATGATCGTGTACTAAAAGACTTCACCATGAAATGCATTCACGTAAATTTGCGGTCAGAAACTAATGAGACACACAGGGTATTGCTTCAAGGGGTACCACTGCTGGGAAGAATGGAGCACACAGCCAACTTTGGCCATGGACAAAGTGGAAATTTTTAAGGCACCATGGCTAATTGTAAGGGCACTGCCATGGCCGCAGTGGCAGCTGTGAAATTAGAACCCTGGTAATTTGTGTTGGCTAAAGACTTAAGTATGTCAATCTGATTCTGTTTAAGTGTATTTTGTTTGGGGTAAGAGTAAATACAAAAACCTACTTGTCTACAAGCCGCCTGATAATTGACAAGGTATCCAGGACGAGAATGTCGGTGTTGGTGTTGTCATCATCATCATCATCATTGTCACTGGACGACAGTCGCGTCAAGAACAGGTTTGGATGCCTGACATTGCGTAGTTGTCTCTCCAGGCTTTGCTGTGCGGACTGGTGCATGACAGTCACGTGATGTCCCCTGGGTGGTGGGTGTGGCTGCCCATGCTGGCCATGCTGCTGTTGGTGATGGTGGCGTTGGCGGTGGTTACCATGGTGGTTCTGGTGATGGCGGCAAGGTGGCTGTCGACTGCGGTCCTTGCTAAAGCAGGAGCTCCCCATGTGATAGATCCCTCGGGCGAGGCACACAAGTCCAGAGTTGAAGGCACGGGCGGCATACACAAAAAGTGGAGGTGGGTCTTGCAGTAGAAGATAGCTAGCCCAGACGGTAACTATCATTGGTTTATGTCAAACAAGCTGTTTTTCTGTCAGTACATTTTGGTTGATTTTTTTGGTAAAACTCAACTGTTTGAAGACCAACAGCAAATGCTTTCGTGTACCAACTGTTACTTGCAGAGTGTCTTTCCTGAAAATTCAAAGAGGGCAAAGGTCATAGCAACAGCCCAATAGGTACATGGAGGACTACAATGCACAAAGAGTACAACTTGCTCTCCTCATAACTATTTTGGGATTAGTAAGTTGAGCTGTGCTATCAGCAGATATTGTGGCAGAATCAGTTGATCCTTCTTCTATCAGCCAATGAACTTTAAATCCACACAGCTGTGGGAGATGTTTTGAAAAGGGGATATAAAGTCCAGGATTTTCAACAGGATTGTCAGATAGATGTCGATACAGATCAATCAGTCAGACCAACCAGCCAACTGCAACCAGCCAACCATTCAAATTCTGATTAAAAAGTAGTTCTAGCCAAACTGCAGGCTGAGAGAGGCCGCATTTGGCATGGTAAACTTGATATGGAGAGAAATCTATATGGGTCATTCCATGAGCCATGAGATTGGGGCACAATTTGTGACGGTGTCCTTGTTACATGGATAACTTTTACCACCTGTCATGACCTGTACGCTGTAACACCTCTGTATTCAGCCTAACAAGATGTACATGTATAACTATGTCAAATGGAATCCACATGCAGGGAAACAGCTGTTCATTTTTATGGAACCCACGTAACAATGGATACCATTACAAATTGTGCCCCAACCGCATGGAATGACCCATATACACGTACGGACAACACTTGATGCCCCTGTGCACAAACCTATGAGACTTGTCTGAAAAAACTTAAGTGTTTTCTAAGTAATGCTTTGGAATTTTCTTAGCTAAATTTCACTTAATAATACATGTTACCACTTCCCGATGGCTGTAATAATATTTTAAGGGAAAATTAGTAGGCCTATCATGCCTATATGAAATTTTACCCTTGATATTTATGACACTCGGGGTAGTCCAATTATGGAATTATGAGTAATCAAGCATTACGGATTGCCCCACAAATCACAGGCAAACCCTAGCCATAACCTGCCTCTCTACATAGGCTATTTAATTTAGTATGAGAATTCAGATGCTGATGCACCCCTTTTTTACCACGTTTACATTTTGTTGGGAACATTAATTTAAGAGTAGGCCTAAAGCTACTTATATCTGGAGTAAGAAAAGTCCTTAGTCACTGGTTCCAAGCTCCCAGCCTGTTTGTTAGATACATATAGATACTATAGGCTACGTGTATGTTCATGACACATTTAACCGCTGTTCACGGCAGTTCACCGCACGTGTCCGAAAACTGGGCAAAAGTCACAAAACGAAAACTGAATTTTTTTGTGCATACCAATGAATCTCGAAAGGAACACATGAATGGGGCTCGATACGTAAAACATTATTTCTCTGTATATTACAAGGACAAATATCTAAGTTTAGACGGAGCAATTAACCAAAACAATGAGACGAAAGCTCCCAGACAAGCTCCGATACTTTTTACAATCCTACCTTCCTGTTGCGGCACGGTATATATAAGGCATAATGCAACTTCGTGACGTGCAGTCTGGTTTCGCTTATTCTAAACGTATGTGCGTCGAATAAAATTTCGTCAGGTGCCAGAAAAGAAGGGGGGGTGAACCGGAACCAAGCCTTTAAACTTCAACCTAGTACATGTACATGTATTTTATGGCCTAGAGGCTTCGCCTGATCATTTTGAACTCCCTCAGCACTGAGTGACTTCGAAGTCGTCAGCGCAATGTCAGATACTTAAGATAGAGCCACTAAAACATTGAACTGCATAAAACCTAATATTGAGGTATTTTTAGAGGCCTACATTCAGGCAAATTGGGGTGTCGATATTGTATTCTAATTAACCATCATAAGACGGCGACGAAACCCCTAGCTAGTATGAAAAACTGCCCCAAACTAGGGGGAACGAGCTGATGTCTGTCATTTCAGACAGCACATTTTGGAAAAACGCTCCTTTTAATTTGAACTTGGGTCATCAAAATGCTTTGGTAGTGGTACGCAACAATAGTTTTCCCTTACGGCATTTGACAGATGGCCTTCTCGTGCAAAAAAAATTGATCTAAAAGTTACCATGAAATCGTTATTCGTATAAAAAAAATGTAACACGCCATTCACAATATCACATTAATAGTGAAGAAAATATATATTCTTGTATTCCCTGTTTCTTGTCTCGGCTTTGTTTTATGTTGTATTGCTTCATCATGGTATCAAGTTGATTTCTCTGCGGTGTTTTGTTAATTGTTACGCGACTTTTGCTTTTTAAGGTTCTTTTCTGATTTACCCCTAACTGTTTGTGGAAATACACCGGGAAGAGGATATTGATGCAACTATAAAAATTTTTTTGCTGTTATATCTAAGCATGGCTATGTCCACTGTGTACACGTTTATGTCCCAACTGTGATTTAAATTACGCTTTGCACTCAGTGTTAGTACTGAGTTTCGAGGTTATTATTCTCTCTGGTAACAAAATAGGTGCGTGACGATGAGTCCTGGGGAACCGCGGGGCCAAGTTTCAATTTGCATGGTAATATTTGCAGCTAACAAAACTGCCTGGGTTAAACACGGTTCCATTTTTAAGTTGACGTGGGACAGAAACAACCATGGGCGTAAATCTTGGGGTTTGATGGGGGTGGATGGTCTATTGAATCATCCCCCATACATACACATACACTTTTTGTGATGAGCAAAAAATTAAGCGAATTGTGAAGAGAACTGAGGGGAACATAAAGCCATAAATATGCTATTCTGATGTAAAATTCTGCATGAATTTGATACACATTAAGGCGTAGACCTACAGATGTAGGAGAAAGTCGAGCATGATGGGACACGGGGCAAGATACAGCTTCATAACTTTACCCGCAAGCTACAAAGGCTGCTTTGAATAAGTGTTGTGACTAAACCGACAAAAAACAGTCATATTTGCATCACAAACAAGTGGATTTGGTCTTGGGTCTTCTCGGACAAATCGAAAAATTTATATTGGGGGACTTCAAATTTTACGGAGGTAATTAAGATCAAATCAAATCAAAGTAAAGTGCAGAGTGGTAACATTGCGTAGTTTGGCTCGGTTTTTAGTCTTTTGAGTCACAAAAGAGCTAGAAGTATGAAACTCTGTGCATGTATTTTACAGTGGCTCCATCAATAAACTGAAGACATATGGGACAGGATGGAACAGGTCGTCTGGGGCAAGACGGGAGAGTGTCCCACCATAATTTCACGCAATAACCAGTAGACCTACATTTATCGTACATCTTTTGTTCTTATCATATCCCTCCGGAAATTTCACGGTGTGATGTTGCTAAAGAAATGTGCCTTCCCTTAGTTAGTCCCATTTCCCAAGGGAATATGTATTGACGAAAACGATTAAATTTTCTCGAAACCCCAACGGCAATGTATCCCTTGCTTTGTAAATAAAAAGCACGGTAATAATCTGTACAAAAGGCAATGGGGAAATCAGTTTGGAATCGGAGTCCCTTCTTGCCCCAAGCCCGTGGGGCAAGATGGGACATGTTGAATTTTGAATAATTAGTCATAACTTTACTACAAAGATTAGAAACATAATGGAAATGTCCTTTCTTTAAACACTTTCCAACGTGGCATTTAATGGATTGGTTTTTGAAATAAAGTCGTTGTTAGGAAAAGTGACCCAGGCTGCCCCACCTTCCCATACATCTTCATCATGAACATCATGTGAACATATACATGTATATGGTGTAGCCCTCCGGCCCCCCGCTTTTCAAATTTCCATGGCCAGGCATGTCATCTCCTCATACCCCCCCCAACACCACCACCAATTTCCAGCATAGACTTACGCCACTGAGTGTCACCATCGTGGCAGATGGGTGGCATGCGGACTGCTTGCTGCAGACTCAAATCAAAATTGAGCCTGTGTGCGCTTACTGGTTTTAAAAATCGAGACGATGATTTGAACGGAGAAATATTCTATTTTGCAATGGGCAAATAGTTAGTGTAATAATTAAGCCACCAAACTGCTTTCTTTATAACACTTTGAGTATGTTTGGTACGGGAATGAGACACCAACTTGAGCATACGATCAATCTAAATTTCTGATGAGCGGGAAAATGACAGAGTTCGGCCCTCACCAAATAAAATTCAGATACGATAGCCGGGTCTTGAAGACATACAGGAATATACCAGGAATTGTTTTATTGATTTCAAACAGCAAGTTGGAAATCAATTCCTTTAAACATAATGACAACTGCAGTATAAAAACACCATACAGAATATTGAATATGGAAACTGAATCTTCGCCAAGACCAGACACTGTAAAACTGCAGACCTTGCTCTACACTTTAATACTATATAGCCCAATGAGCCTGTGCAACCTTGGTTGCAGCATAAGTTGGTGTATAGTCAACGAACATAGATAGAGGGAAAAAATACCACAATTCTACAATACCAATGATTAAACTAGCTATACGTACAGAAAACAAAAAGAGAATAGGCAATCGGCTAAAAAATCAGTCAGTTTACTATATAGTAATGTCAACAAAACTCTGACATCTTTTTAAAGTGCCCAGCAAACTGTATCCCAGTTTATGCAACAGGAAGCGTATTTACCCTTCTTCGCAGGTATTCCCACGATCATAACAGTGCGAAAAAGACTCATTTTTCTATCCAGGTATATTAAGTATGCAAAAATAATGACTTTTTTGTATATAATGGAACTACCGCTCTGCAAAACTTTGGACATTTTAGTACTAACGCAACGGGTGCTAATGATGACTTAGAACGTTGAAAAGACTGACATACTCCTGCACCTTCATTGATACAAATTAGTAAATAATACACTATATAAACATGGAAACGTGCTCAAACGTCGAACTTAAAACGAGCAGAGTCGTGCCATTTCCGTTTGGAACGACAATAGTGCGACACATCCTGTCGAGCTAAAGGACTTGTGTGCCTAATTCAATTTGCCGAGCTGAATACGGGCGATTCACAACAGCGTGCCTCCAAGATTGTCGGTCAGTCCCAGTGCGCGAAATCTGTCGACCCAATGCGTGCTTGAAAAGGACCTAATACACTCTTGGAGTCCACGGATTTCGCACATTGTGATTGGTCAACGTGTTGCAAACCCTTGGAGGCGCACTTTTGTCGCCCGTATTGTACTACACGCTGTACTCTTGCCGTGCCGAAGTTTTAAAAATTGAATTATTTGAGTTCGTCACAGCTGTAGCACGGCGTATAGCCTAGGCATAAGACACGAACTTGAGCATACTTAATGGTAACTGATCTAAATTTCTGATGAGCGGGTGTATGCCCAGTCCGGAGATGCCCACAAAAATGAAATTCAGACAATAGCTGACCTGAGAGAAATGAAACCAAAAATCGTTGCATTTGGATTTTGAATGAGGTTTTTGTTGTTGCTGATCGAATGACTGCTCTGCAAAGTTTTAAACTTTAACTGTAATAAGAAGGCGATGACTGCTAAAGACGCGGTAAAAAGATCATAACGTTGAGAAGACTGACTATGTTATTGTAGCGGTCCAGTCCTTCCGCAGTTGTCGGGAGGGTGGAGA